CGGGTGAGGCCGTACCGGACCCGCGCAAAGGCGAAGCTCTGCTGCTTGTAACGGATCCAGCACCGAGTGCGTCTGCCCTCCCAAACGGCTGCACCACTTACAGATGCGCTCTTCCACTCCCGTCCTGCCCAGTGCAGCTGCCTCTGGGGTGGGATGCAGCAGCTGTTTAGCAGCACGCAGGAAGCGAAACTGCATCCAAACTGCAGGGGGCTGGCAGGGCAGCAGAACCGAATGGCCCCGGGGCAGCCTCCCACGCGGATCCTTGTGAAAAGAGTAATACCGAACCCAGCGATGAATGCCAAGGGAACGAGGCTGCCATGGAGTCCGTACTAAATCAGAGGGGCGGGGCCCTCCTGTCCTTGGGATTGATGGGGCTCTGCACAGTACTATGGGACTGGTGCTCTTGTGCCCAGAGGCAGCTGGGGGGGGGGGGGGCAAATGCCATTTTCGAGAGCTGCCATTTCACAATCTGCAGCAACACCCCAAGGAACAATTTGAAGGCGAATTTTACACTAAGGCCCTGTCGACTCGCGCAGTGAATTCACCAACTGACAGGCTACCCCTGGGGCTGGCACATGCCTGTTCAGTGGCATCATTGGCTCTTCCCAGGGTCAGTGTCTGCTCCGAGCTCTGGCCGGCTTTATGCTTGTCGGTGAACTAGCTCCTGTCCCCGGGAAACAGCCACAGAGGGGATAGGAAGGGACGGGTGGATGGACATTAAGACCCAGCGGTGCCCCAGATTTTCAGGTGCCCCATGCAGCTGTGCATTCTGTGTATGGGTAAGGACGGCCCTTGGTGCGGGGCACCCCCTGCTGAGCCACCAGCCTGGCTTCCCAAAGCACATGGCACCCTAGCTCCATACTGGGACCTGGTGGTTCTTGTTGACCCGGGAGGGGAGGGAGAGAGCAGGATCTCCTACTGAGCATGCTCCTTATGTCCTTCAGCACAGCGCCCCCTAATGTCCTGGGCAGGGACTGCCAGGGGAGCCCCCCTCCTGCTGAGTTACCCACCCCACTTTCTGGATCAACGGGGCCAGTCCCATGCAGGCCCTCCCCAGGCCTGTGTGCGAGAGCTAACAAGGCCACAGCGCAGTGTGGGGCGGCAGCAGCGCCCGTTAAGCATGGTGCCCGGTTGCAAGCAGGCTGGGAAGGGTCTGGCAAGCGTCAATCTCCCTCCACCCCCAAGCCCTTCGGGGTGATGCAATGTTACCGATCGACAGGCCAGGCCCGACACCTCGCCCCCTTGATGACAGCAGTCCGGTGCTCGAAGCACTAGGAAGTTTTTCCTTCTTACACCCTGGCATCTGCTGTCATGACAGCATTGTCTGAGCCCCCCGGCGTCCAGCAACTGCCACGCCCCGTGCCAAGGTGGCTGCAGGGGGAGGGGCCGCGAGCTCCCAGCCCGGCCCCTGGCTTCTTGCAGGCTGTCGCACTCAGCAGTAGGCCGTGCCAAGGTGGCTGCAGGGGGAGGGGCCGCGAGCTCCCAGCCCGGCCCCTGGCTTCTTGCAGGCTGTCGCACTCAGCAGTAGGAGGGAGGGGCTGGCTGGGAACACTGCCCCCTCTCCCCGGGAACTGCCCGAGCCCTGAGCCTCCTGCTGTCATTTTGCAGCCCACATGCCAGGTCCCTGTTGTAGGGAGTGAGGGGAAAGTGCAGAGCCTGCTGCGTTCCTCCTCTGTCCCCGCCCCTGCCCTGGGCAGCCGGGAACGAGAGGAACGCAGCCGGCTCTGCATTTCCCCTTGCCCCCTGCTCACAGGGAGAAGGAAAAGCAACAGGGACCTGGTGTGTGCAGCTGTGGCCCCCTTGTCCCTCCCCTCCTCCCCCCGCTCTCACCCCAGCCCCTGCACTGAATCCTGCACCCCCATATCCCCATCTGAGCCCTCGTGCTCTCCCAGCCCTGCACCCCCATATCCCCATCTGAGCCCTCGTGCTCTCCCAGCCCTGCACCCCCATATCCCCATCTGAGCCCTCGTGCTCTCCCAGCCCTGCACCCCCATATCCCCATCTGAGCCCTCGTGCTCTCCCAGCCCTGCACCCCCATATCCCCATCTGAGCCCTCGTGCTCTCCCAGCCCTGCACCCCCATATCCCCATCTGAGCCCTCGTGCTCTCCCAGCCCTGCACCCCCATATCCCCATCTGAGCCCTCGTGCTCTCCCAGCCCTGCACCCCCATATCCCCATCTGAGCCCTCGTGCTCTCCCAGCCCTGCACCCCCATATCCCCATCTGAGCCCTCGTGCTCTCCCAGCCCTGCACCCCCATATCCCCATCTGAGCCCTCGTGCTCTCCCAGCCCTGCACCCCCATATCCCCATCTGAGCCCTCGTGCTCTCCCAGCCCTGCACCCCCATATCCCCATCTGAGCCCTCGTGCTCTCCCAGCCCTGCACCCACACAGAAACACCCTACTCTAAGGGGGGCGGGTAGGACAGTACCTCTAAGTTTCTTTCACTCCTGGGTAATATCCAGCTGATTAGCAGTGCTCACAGCTGGTAGCATGTGTTTCTATGGGTGGTGCACATCTGCACTTGCCTTGGTGTATATAATAAAAGTTATTCCACACAGATGGAGCCAATTAGACAATTCTTGTTATCCATGTGATAAAAAAGTTAAATTGAATTCTGCCAGGCCTACTGATAAGTGACTCTCCCTGCTTCCCTACATGGGCGTTATTACAGGGGGTGTCTGAGAGAAGCGGAGAGCAGCGCTGTAACACTAGGGACCTGTTCTGCTGCTTCCTTACTGGTGTAAATCGGAGTCGCTCCATGGCATGGCAAGGGCACTAGTGCCAAAGAATCCGATTCTCTGTCCTGCTGGGTGCAGCATTAACCACGAGAGGGAACCAGAGACCTGCTGAAAGTTGTAGTTCCCCTCTAAAAAGAGCAGCTGCCAACCCCTGGAAAACTTGGGAGGAACTTTCCTTGGAGTGTTACGAGTGATGGTTCTGCTCCTACAGCTGAGTCCTGCAGTGGGGCTGGGCCGCAGGGCCTCCTTCTCCAGCAGCTTGCAGGGCCGGGGGTTGGAAATGGGGGGGATTTCCAGGGCCTGGCTGCCAGCAGGGAACAGGGCAGCCTGAGATGTGCTAGTTAGAAACTGACTAGGTGTTCCTGCAAGATGGAAGTCTGGCAAGTCGGTGGAAGGAAGCTCACTGGTTAGCTGCAGGTAGAGGACGGGGGAGCAGAAAGGGAGAGGCCTTTGAGTTACCTGGACCCGTGATCAAACCCCGTCCCGAGTAGCTCATGACTCTGGTGGTGGCTTTTGTTTCTCGGAAAGACTTATTACTGTCTGTGTAGCCAATCTCGGGCTGTTTTCAGAGGCCAGATGTGAGGTTTTTGAACTCTTGGCACTGGAGAGCCTGCCGAGCAAGGCTGAGAACAGAAATCCCCCAGGTTTCTCTCCCTCTGTCTCTGCTGGGGGCCCTGTGACGCAGTCCCATCCGAACGCTCTAACATCTCCAAACTCAGAGGCGCCCCGCTGTGTCCATCTGCTCCCACTTCCCCTCCCCCACCGGGTTGCGTGGGGATTGGGGTGCTGGCAAGGACCCAGGACTGTGGGGAGGGAATGCAGCTCTGGTTTTCGAGCCCCATGTCTGCCATATGAAACCTTGTTCCCATTGAACCAGTTACTCGGATTGGGGAATGTTTTGTCCTATGATTTGAAAAGGTCAGAAAAGTGACGTGTTTGAAGCAACAAAGTGGCCTGGAATGAAATTAGGTCCATGTTGTTTCTCTGCTTTTATTTTTAACCAAGATTCCCTAACTTTTGTCTCGATTTGGGTTGCTCGGGAGAATCTTGGGGTAGGGCCAGGAACCGCAAACGTTTCTTCCTCCAGAGCGTTTGACTGGTTCCTGCTGCCAAGCTGACCTTTCCTTTATGACATCAGAGGTGGTTGCCATGGAGAGGATTGTGATGTCACAAGCAGTGGATTGTGATGTCACAAGCAGTGGATTGTGATGTCACAAGCAGACCTTGGATGTGGTTGGAGCCAGGCCAGTAACACAGAGCAAAGTGAGACAAACAGAGAATTTACTATAAGGGAGAGGGACCCCTGCGGCTCTGGGGTGGGGAAGAGCAGGGCACCCTTACAGAGATCTGGGGGGGGCCTCTCTTAGGCAGCGTCACGGCCCAGCGTGACTGGTGTTGGAGATTCCATCCTGGCTGCAGCCAGTCCAGCCAGGTGCCTGTTAATAGGCGCTTTGTGCTGGCGGGTGGCAGCGTGGCTCCGGGGGAAGGCGATGCTGCTGGGACACAGGCTCTTTGTCCCATGGCCTTTGAAGTGTGTGCAGCTGGGGGGACTCGCGCTGTCCCTGGCCCGTGGAGGGCGTGTGGGTGGAGGCCTCGTGGCTGGGCGGGGGAGCGGGGGGCTCTGCTGGGTCTGTCAGAGATCCCGGGGCAGGGGCAGAGAAATGGAGCTGCAGAAGCCCCGTCGGCTCCCACCCAGCCCTCCTGTGAGCCAGGCAGGCGCGTCCTGTGGGCCTGTTCCCCAGGCACTGCCCTTGGCCCTGGCCAGGGTGCAGGATGCCCCCGGGCCATGTACACACAATGGCTTTGCTTGCATCAGTATACCACAAAAAACAGCGGTACGGGCTAGCTGCCTAAGTATACACCTAGGGTATCAGAAGGGATTGCACTAGGTGATTAATCCAAGCTGTCTCTTGTGAAGGAGCAGCTACTTAAAACTGCAGCTCCTCCAGCTGCAGCATAGAAGTACGTAGGGCAGGGGTGGGGAACCTCAGGCCCAGGAGCCAGATGTGGCCCCCAGCTTGAGTGGATCTGGCTTCTGAGGCTCATGGACCTGCTCCCCCAACACTAGAGAGCCAGTGGTGGTGGCCCCCCCCCCCCCCCCTCCCCCCCCCCCGGCAGAGGGGGGGGATGGCAGCTGAGGGGGGATGGCTGGGCAGGTGGGGCAGAGCCCCCTGCATGGAGATGGAGGCCCCAGTTTCCCAGTACTTGCTGATCGGTTTCTGGCAGGGACCTTGTGGGATCATGGGAATTTCCATTTCTCCTGAAAGTCCAGGGCGCAGGCGTGGACAGTCATGATTCAGCCAGGAGCAGGGGCCTCTCTGCTCCCGAAGACCCTGCCCAGCGGATGAGCAGAGCACTCACCGCTCTGTTGAGTGGTGCACATTCACACATGCCTCGGTGCATGTCATTTATTCCGCACATAAGTGGAAGAGAGGGAACCTGGCCCATGACTCCCTTCTAACCTGAGCCTGGCCTGGCAGGGGTTGAGGATGATCCAAGACTAGGTTTGTCCTTTGCCCCCCCACCCTGAGTTCCCCTACAGCAGGGCTTTCCCTGAGGGACTGGGAAAGGAAACCCCAGCCTCACAAAGCTGCACTTCAGCCCGCCTCCCCTGCTGCAAAGGGGCTGTTGGGTGTCAGATTTCCCCCTCCCCTCTCCCCGCTCTGGGGTTCTGGCAAGTGCTGGCCCCCAGGGGCTGCTACTCTTTCCAGCTGGATTCTGCCCCAGGCTGGCTCCCATTCGCCTCACGCTGTCTCTCTCCCCTCCCCCCCAGACTGCAAGTTCACCTGCCACTACCGCTGCCGCGCCCTCATCCGCCTGGACTGCAGCGGCCCCCGGGACCAGGACAGCGACCCGGCCGAGGCCACCCAACAGACCGTGGAGAGAGACACCAATGTGGTAGGAGAGCTGCTGGGCTCCTGCCCCAGTCTGCAGGCTACAAAGTGCACCATGCGGGGGTGGGGGTAGGGACAGGGCTGGAGTTGCTGGGAGCCCCCCCCCTTCTCCATCTGCCCCTCCCCACAGTGCCCCCTGCTGGGCGAAGCTGGGGCTGGTGTTGCTCAAGCTCTTGCCCTTGCTGTCTGTCTCCAGCCCAAGCCTGGGTGCTGCTCAGCTGGTGGGTGGCTCCTGCCCCTCCCCCGCACAGCAGTTGGGGCGCTGGGCTGAGCTGGCCCCCAGGGAGAGCGTGGTCACTCGTGCGGTGGCCCTGGTGGAGCAGCCAGCTCCAGTTTCACCCGGAGACTGCACCTCTGCTCCCTGCAGCTAGTCCCTCCCCGCTGAGATCTCCCCAGGGCAGGGATGGCAGGGGTGGGGAGGCCCATATACCCAGGGGGCAGGCACGTTGCCAATTGATTCTGTGCCACGTTTGGGGGTGTCTATTCTAGCAACACCAGCATCTGCCCCCTGCCTGGGATGCTCAGTGGGTCTGGATCCCTTACTGCCCCCCCGCACAGCTGCTGGAACTGTCAGAAACTTCCCTGTCACCCCATCCCCATTACAGACCCCACCTCTCCGCCCCGCACCGCTGTCCTTTTGTGAGCATGTGGGAAAGGTTGCAAGGATCAAAGCCAGTGCATAGGAAATCCGGTCCTGCCCTCCCCAGAAGGGCTGGTGCTGCTGTTGGGGCCGTGGATTATCCGCAGAGCAGCAGGGAGGGTGCTCTGATGCTTAGGGCCCTGGACGGGGACTTGGGGGCCCTGGCTCCGTTCCTGACTCTCCTAGTGCCCCCTCGTCTCCATTTCCCCATCTGCAGAATGGGGACCTTCCCTACCTCCTAGGGTGTGAGTATCCCTGGTGAGCACTAGATCCATAGCACATGCCTGGGGCCGGCACGTGACCATGGGATCCCTGTGGGGCAGGGCCCATGTTTTCCTGTCTGCACAGTGCCTAGCACAGACTGGGCCCTCTGGGCCATGGCATCAATGCACCCCAGTCGCTTGGCTGGATTGGCGCTGCAAACTGTCTCCGTCCCCTGTACAGCCTGCTCTGGGGAACGCTGAAAGCAGAGCGGCTCCTGGCTGGGGTGTGGGCTACCACGTGTCTCTTGGTGCCTCTGCAGCGGGTGTTCCCTGGGGCTGGATGGGCAGGCTCTTGTAGCCCTGTGGAGCTGTTGTCATGGTGCTTTGCCTCCCTGCCGTTTGAGTGGTGCCTCCCAGCCAGACCTCCCCAGGGGCCGGGGGCTGTCGTGGTGTTCCTCCTGGTGCAACCGGAAAGCCGTCAGTCGCAGCGGCTACTGGCCATGGAAGGGAGTGCGGGGAAGGGGAGGGGAGCGCAGCGAACAAGCCTTGCTGTGATCGGGGGCTTTGGGCAAGGGGGGGGTGTCTGTGTTGGGGAGGGGCTTTGGAGTGAGTGTGGGGCGTGGATTGTGCTCTGGCTAAAGGCTGGGAGCTAGTTTGTTAGGGGGGGTTCCATTTGGGGCTAAGATGGGGGG